ACACGCGCGGGGGAGCACGCTCCGCCCTCGCCGCCCGCCAATAGGCGGCGAGCGCGCCTGCTTGTGGAGATTCCCCCCTCTGCGGTGGCGGATGGTACAGCCCCAGGACGGGGGTCTTAAAGGGACAGGAGCGGCAGGAGGGGCCGGGAGGGTAAAGCGTGGGTCAGGGGCCGGGCAGAATTGGGGCGTGGGGTGGTCAAGGGTGGGGTCAGGGTGCAGAACAACAGGGTCCAGAGGTCACAGTGGGTGCAAGCAGGTGGTCAGTGTGGAGGGCAGGCTTGGGGTCAACACTGTAGTTCGGGGGTGAGTATGGGGGCGCGCGTTGGGGTCATGGTGGGGCCAGAGTTGGGGTGGCAGTGGGAGCAGGGCTTGGGTCACTGTGGAGTCCTGTTTGGGGTCATAGGCTGGGGTCAATGGGCTGGGGTCACTTTTGGATGCTAACTGTGGGCTGACAGGACCCACAGACCCAGGACTCCTGTCTGTGGCCACTCCTGGGTGCACATGGTGCTGCTGTGGGACTCCCAGCTCCCCCAAGGTCACTGCCCAGACCAGGGTCCCGTGGGGGGTCAAGGGGACCCCATGGTGGAGGCTGGCACCCAGTCACCTCCACCCTCTGTGGGAGCCAGGGGTCTGCTCCACCGGGGCAAGCACACGCTCCTGATTTAACTGCAGCCCAGATGGTTGGGGTGTTTTGGGGTGGTCTTCCTCTCTCTGCCACAGTGGGAAGTTGCACAAGCAGCTCTGGAAGCATCCCCAGCAGTCCCGGTGGGAGATTTTGCAACCCAAACCTCCAGAGCCCGGGTCCCACAGGGACCGCTGCTCTCCTCTCTGATGGTTGATTTTTTTGGGGGGGTGAAGCTGGGTTACACCTCCGCTGTTTCCAGCTTGGCCAAAGCCAGAGGCACAGCTTGCCCTGACCCCACTGAGCAGCCCCATGGCTCTGTGGGGTCACCCCGGGCTGGGTCCCCTCCCTGTGCCTGCTGGGCACTGGCACATCCAAAGTCACCATCATGACGCTGTCGCTGTGTTGACGCTCGCTCCAGAGTCAATAAAAGACTCGGGGAAGGTCCAAAGTTTGAGCTGGGCCTGGCAGGCACCTGAGGGGCCAGAAGAGGTGTGAGGAGGAGGCACAGACCTCAAGAACACCAGGGCTGCAGGGCTTGTTTCCTGCATTTGAGCAAAGCGTTGAGGGGTGCGATGTCATCTGGGTACTGGTGCCACTCACATAATTTTGGGATTGACCCCATGGAAGCTCCCTGGTCTGTCACCATACACTGTGGGGTGAATGGGCACAGGTAAAAAAGATCCCAGTGGCCCTGTGGGGACAGCGGGACAGAGCAGGTCCATGGCTGGGGTCATCCCATCAGGTGCCCAGACTGGCACAGCCTGTCCCATTCTGTCCCCACAGGGAAGGGGCTGGGGTCTCATCACACCCAGCCCAAACACCCCAGGGGGAAGCAGCAGAGTCCTGCAGCCCACAGAGACCTGTTTGGTCAGCACTTTGTGTCTCCCTCTACATCTCCCACCTCTCCAGCTCTCCTCTGTTCCCAGCACAGTTTGAAGCTGAACTTTTAGCCACAGAATTCTCACAGTGCCAGCAGACAACACGGGACAGCCATGGAGGTGGCATTTGGCAGTGTCCTGGCCCTGGCACAGGGAACCTGGCCCCCAGTCAGGATGTCTGCATGGGTGTGCTTGGCCAAAAATTAATGACAGGAAAGCAAAGAAACACAGACCTGTTTTCATTTCAGCATCAGTGTCTCCTGCCAGGCCTCAGCATTTTGTGGGTCCTCTCTCACTCCCGGATGGGGCAGCAATGTAGGTCCAAGTCAGTTCTGTTTTCCTTGTGTATCCCTGACTCCTTTTCCCTTGCACCATGGTGGGAGTTGAAAAGCAGAGGGGATGGACTTCCAGAGCATCCTTCCCATGGCAGGACCGCTACTCCAAGGACAGGGAACAGCTGGCTCTGCTCCCAGCACTTGTCCCTGACTGTTCCTCTGCAGAAAACCTCTGAGGACATGGGGGCAACCCAAGGGGCTTTCTGGACTCTCTGTACAGCCTACGGACAGACACAATCCTGGCATGGAATGAAGTGACAGTTTTACTGGGAATGAGCCAGAGGCACAGAATAACAAACCTCTAAGGACAGCACGTTCCCAGGGGCAGCCACCCCAGGGGCAGCCATCCCAGGCTGAACTGGGAGGTTATTGATTTTTTTTTAATTTTTCTTCCCTGCTTTAGGAACTTCAATTCTCTGTCTCCCCGCCAAGGAAATGAGCGGGTACTGCAACATGTGATGAGTAACATTCCTGTGAGCTTGGTTAGGCAGATGCCAAAGCCCAGTGAGCTGATGACTTTTACCTTCCTCTCTTCCAAATTTAAATCCTCTTCTCAGCCTTAGGCATGTTTGTAAATGTCTCATCCCAACCTGTTTCCTTCCTCTCAGCAAATTCACTTCCCTGGGTGATGAGTTCTGAATTCACCCCCAGCCCTGAGGAACTGGGATTTGATGGACTCCACTGTCCAAGAGCATTTCACTGTAGAATGAATGAATGCCCTCAGAAAAGCAGGGAACAGAATCTCCACAAACATCCACCTGAAGGGCACTGAAGACAGGTCCAATACATTGCATGTGACCAGTAGGTGCAGCTGGACTCGGAACACTCCCAGGGACATGGTGAAAGCTGTAGAAATCAGAGAGACCAAGTGATCTGCCAAGGTCACCGAGAAGCTCCCGGAAGATCTGGGAGCAGAAAGATAAAATCCAAGCTGTGGTTTTGGGCTCATCCAGCATGTCCTGTCCTCAGGGCTCATCTGGAGGGCTGTGGAAGTTGGCTTGTCCCAGCATGGAAAGGTTTATGGCTGGTACCTGCTCCTTCCCTGCTGGAGGGAGGTGTGCACAGCTGGGACAGGGGCTGTTCCCACTG